AATTTCAAGCTATGGAGAAGAGAGAAAATAGAATAGGACAGGTATTTGTAGCCAAAAGAATGGAATGAATTACGTCCTGACGTGAATAAAAAAGAACAACAGAAAAGATGTACATGATTTGACTGTTCAAAGTTTGTACTGTCTAGTAAGGAATTGTTAATAGACCTGTTGGACAAGTTTTAAAATACTATCATAATCCAGAGATAGGAGGAAAATCCATGTTGAGATTCAGAGACATGTCCAGCTGCGGCTGGTGAGCAGTTGGTATTGAGCATGAACTGGTATTTATCTTCTATTAGTGAAGTGGTTGTTAAAAGTTGGAAGTGATTGCCTTGTTTTGAATCTCACTCTGACATTTGCCTTGATGCCTGCTTTATTATTCTTCTTTCCTCAGTTTTTCACTGATAAATAGGATGGATAGGAATGGTATCTGATCTGATTATTTGGAGGAATAATATATCGATTCTTAAATATTCCTGGCATACAGTAGACTCTTAATAAACGTTTGCTAGTATTGGTGGTGTTTTTCTTGTGAGTGATTTTAGAATCTGGCGAGTGCTCAACATTTCACTTTCTGGCATTGCAGTTGCATTTGTTTCTAGTGTTGAAATGACTATGGACTAACAGACAAGGAGGAAGGGAGGAATAAAGAGATATGGCTCACAAACTCTAAATCACAAAGTGCTGTAGCATGGCACTGAAACAATAACAAGGAGGTAAAATCTCTTCGTGTTCTGTATAAAGCACAGGAGAAGCCTTGGGTTTTTCAGAGGAGACACGTATGTGACATTTTTGTAATGCAATAGGGAAACACTACTATGAAGAAGGTACTTAATATGTGCAAAGGACTTAATACAATGTGTAGCATGTAGCAAACATTCTGTATATATAGCTAATAAATTATCTTCATTTTTGACACCAGCTTTACATTATTAAAAATTGAAAGTGGTGTAAGTATTCCACAGGGTTGCAATTTTACATTAAACAGTTACTACAAATTTTGGCTGTATTCCCATTGTTGCTCATAACATATTTGAGCGCATATTGCATCCAAAGTTTGTATCTCCTACAATCCGCCACCCTTATGTTTCCCCTCCCACTTCACTGGTGTTGTATAGCTTTTTTTCTGCATCTGAAAGTCTGCTAATATTTTGATCCCATCCCTGATAAATGGAAACAACTAAATCTTTCTAATTTACCCAATAGTGACTACTTAGATACTACTTATGAATGTAGGTATATTCTTAGTTCTTTTGGTTTTACTTGTTTTTGTGTATTTATAAGACATATGTTGGTATATTTCTGTTTCAAAGAGATAATATTTGGTTTCCGAATCATTTGAGGATTTACATGAATTTTGGTAATATTATTACTATTATTATCATAACTATTGTATGTATTTTCTCCCTTTTGTTTCATAATGACTTTATAAAGAAAACATTTTGAGAATGTGTTGGTAATAATAGCAATGGGAGAATAACGCAAAGGGAGAAAATATTTACATATAAATCCTCTTAATCCCTATGTTACCATTTCAGTGACTCTTCTCATTCTGATGATTAGCTCTTTCAAAATTTCTCCATTTTCCTTAAACTTCTGAAGAAGCATTCCACTAAAACTACTGAAAACAAACTTTATGTGACACTCCCAGTAGGCTATTGTAGACTATTCAAAGCCCTGTGCAACTCTAACTCTGCATTGTGTTTATGTGAAGATACATTGCTACCTCCCTGGCCTCCCTATTAGAACTTCTCTAGACAGAGTATGTAGTAGAAAAATATACATGTATACTCACGAAGGATTATTAATGACTTGCTTCAGTGCATTGAGCAAATCTGTTGTTGACATTTTATTGAAGTCCAGCCTGACAGCTGCCCCCTTGGCCATCAGGTGAGCGATGTTATCAGGTTGATCAGCAAACAGAGGAATGCCCACCATAGGGATCCCGTGGTAGATGGCCTCATAAATGCCGTTGGTTCCACCATGAGTTATAAAAGCTTTGGTTTTTGGATGACCTAGGATTGAGTGAATTTCAGTAAAATGGTTAATTATAGTTAGAAATAAAATGAGAACTGGCCATTACAAGGCAGTGAAAGAAGCAGTGTCCTTTCGATAACAGATGATTGTACACATGAAACTGCCTTTCAACTGCTTTCAGAACTCAGATGAGGAAGCCACTCAGTCTGCTGGAGAGGGAAGTGAAGCCTTCATGAAAGGAGTGCTGTGTGAGTTGAATTCACAAATGTACTCCAGATTGTCAGGTGAACAAATGGAAAGAACATTCTGGGTAAAAGAAACCACATGAGCTAAAAATGGGTGAGGGTATGTCAAAAATATAGTCTCTTAAGGAAATAGACATTTAGTCTGATAGGAAGGGTGTCAGGCAACAGGAAAGATCATGGTCGCGACACAGACCAGAGGAAGGAAAAGCTACATTTTATCATGAAATGTGTTATGACTTCATGAAAACAATTCTGAAGTATTTTCCTATAGAACTTGGGGAGTCACTGGTAATAAAAAGGATCTGCTGTATTTCAGGGGCATTTAAAATTCCCGTAAGATGGGAAAAGATAGATGTAAGGAGAGAATACAGGCAAAGCAATAATCCAGGAATTTCTTGATAATTTTACTGTGAGAAGTAATTACAAGCAAAATAAAGATTCTGTCCATAAGAGATGTGACTCTTTAATAAAAAGCCAACTGTTACATAGACAAGAAACTTATTATTACTAGGGGTAAAGTGGGTGGAAAAGGGTAAGTTGGGAATTGGAAATTTGCACCTCTTGGAGAGTGATTGAAATGTTGGCCATCTTGATTGTGGTGGATGTTTTATTGGTGTATACCTCTATCAAAATTCATCAAATTGTACATCCGAAAAACGTGTAGTTTACTGTACAGGAATCGTACCATAATAATGGTGTTAAAAAAAGCCAACCGTTTTATTTTATTTGTTTTCCTCCAGGGTAAGAGAGAACAATGAAGATTCACAGTGTTCTTTTTGCATGCTTGAATAAGTTCTGGGTAAGTTGGTTTCCTGTCCCAGTGCTGTCACTCCCTCAGCTGTTACTCTTGTTTCCAACATTTGTACTCCCAAGTCTTACCAAGAAGGTCGTTCTGGGGGATCCACTTGTACAGCCGAGTATTGGGTCCTAAGGTATCTGGTTTCTTGCCATCGTATCTCCAAAGAACCTGTTAGGGTGAAGTAAATTGCTCATTCATGAGTTCAAAGTTATAGCACGTTAGAATTCTACAGAGATGAAAAGACACCCAGTTAAATGCCTTCCGTATGACAGGTCAGGAAATGAGGACTGGAAATCCTAAGTAGAGATGACTAGTAATGCACTGACATCAATAGGAATACCCACGTTCTGTGTACTTATTTTTATGTTCAATCAGGTATGGAATGAACCATGACATTTCACGCGTGATGTCATTGACAGACTTCTCAATGACAAATTCAAGTATTTGGGAGATTGTTAGGTATTCTTGATTCTAGTGAATTAAAACAGTGGGCAATTACTAATAATCTTCACATTTGTTTTGATTTATTTTATATACTAGCACTCATTTTCAATTTTGGTATCCACTGGTTTGTTTCTTTTTCACTCATAAAATGGAGTTTACTTGTATCCAGTCATTAATATAACTTTTTTTTATCAGAGTTTTACATCTTTTGATTTAGTAAAAGGAAAATGCCTGCAGTTGGTCACTTAAGAGAAATATTTCTGCTTATTTATAATTTATTAATGATAAGATAATTAACGCTGGTTAGGAGGTATAACTTCTTTTAGATTACAAATTGTTAAGCACCTCTTCCAAAAAAAAAGACAATTATTATTTTTTGACATAAATCCAGATTATTGCCACTATTAGTAGCTTTGAAAATTTTTAAGTTTAGAAAAGAGGAGCATGTTGATAATTTACAAGTAACAATAAGGCTGTTGAAAAAGCTCCAAAATAGGGATACTAAAATTTATTCAACTGACCCCGAACACTTCAACAGTGAAGCACAATGCATTGACAGCAGTGGTTAATGTGGTTTTTATACTCAATACCAAAATAAGATACCTATTTTGGACTTCCAAGCAATTCTCATAAGCTGGATTATAATTTAACTGGTGTTTCATTTCTGTTTGCTATGTGAATGAAATGACTAAGTTCTCAACAAAAAATTAGCATAGGTGTTTGTGAGAAGACCACAATATCGGATAGTAAAGTAAAAAGTAGTTCGTAAATAACAAAGGATCCCAGGTGTATTTTATTTACTAGAGAATAAGTTACTATATAATATGGAGAAGGAGGCAGCAGAATCTTTTCCATGCCAGTCTTCCTTATGTTTGACTCTTGCCCTTCTCCCTCCTCAGTCAGGAGGAGTAACCTGATAGGCTGGAAGCAGAGTTCATTAAGGTCCACCTTATAATGCATAGGATCCATCTTAAGGGCAAGCCCCCATCTCCATCCTTTCTCTTTCATCTTCCTGCTTTAGGCTTTGGCAGGGCTCATTCACCCAGGGCAGGCTGATGTTTGTCTTTGTCTAAATCATGGTGGCTGGATGGGTGTCTGGAGGCAGCTTGGGGAGCCCTGACCAACCTTTCTCTGAATAACACCCTGAAAAGCACACTGAATGGGTCTGTTGCAAAATTTAGAGGAAGTGATGGGGCCCAGGATTACCTGGCAAGCACAAACTGCATGGCATATTTCTGACTTTGATCACTATTGTTCAACATTACTGTGCTAGTACAATTTCTGTTAAAATTTAACTCCTGAGAACTTCTGTATGTGTACTATGTCCTCAGGAATCCTTCAAAGAAAAGGAACAATGACAAGGCAGAATTTGGTGATTTTTCTACCTGCCCACATACCATTATAATATCAGATTTCACACTGCATCTCTTAAATACATTTATTTGATTACAATGTGAATCCAAAAATCATTGTCAAAGATACTCTCTGTATTATTGTAGGACCTGCTATGTATATTTTGATTTTTAAATACTTGAGATACATTGGAGCTATCATAATAATTTACCTTTCTTACAGAATATGTAATCCAACTTTTTACAGAATTTAATGGTCTCATTGTATAGTTGTCCACTATTATGCTGCTTTATCTACCTTTTGTGGAATCTGGGCAAGGGCTGATGCAATCACATTGGCTCTTTCTTCTGTTATGTTAGTGACAATTGACCCCAAAGTAAACACCACGATACCATCTTCTCCTGAGCTCTGGACAAACTCTTCCATTTCCTGTCAAAAAAGAATATTCTCCATTACAAATGAGCAACAGTGTAGCAAACATTATTGAAAGATTACTACAAACAGCTGAAGAGAAAAAATCTGTTATAGTCAGGAATTATTATGGTAGTAGCTTTTTGAAAAAAAAAAGGTAAAATATACACAAGATGCAGTTTACCATCTTAGTCATTCCTAAGTCTGTAGTTCAGAAATGTTAAGTATATTTGCATTGCAGAACCAATCTGCAGAACTTTTTCATCTTGTAAAACTGGAAGTCTGTGCCCATTAAAAACTCCATTTTCCTCTTTGATCCCAGCCCCTGGGAATCATCATTCTACTCTGTGTTTCTACAAATTTGATTAGTCTAGATACCTCATATACATTGAGTTGTATAGTACTTGTCTTTTTATGACTGACTTATGCCCTTATCCTGAAGTTCATCCATGTTGTGTCATGTGTCAGAATCTCCTTTTAACGACTAAGTAATAACCCAGTGTTTGTGTATTCCGTATTTTGTTGTTTGTGTTTTCTGTTCATGTACACCTGAGTTGCTTCGGTTCCTTGTCTCTTGTGAATAGTGCTTTCAAGATTATGGTGAACAAATAGCTATTTGGGATTCTAGGTTCAATTCTTTTGGATACACAGCCAGAAGAGAAATAGCTGGACCATATGGTGACTCTATTTTATATTTTTTGAGGAAATTCCTCAAAAGTTTTAAATAATGGCTTTTTAAAAATGGACCTCAGGGATGAAGGAGATGTGTGATTTGAGGTCAGTGTCTTCTATTACATGTACTTGTGCAAATGTGTGTGGGTGTGTGTATAAGCAAAAATGAGATAGAGGCAGTACACAGTAGTGAGGAGGACACACTGGTTAACAGTGTTAGACTCTTCATCAGTCATGTTATTAAGTACTAACATAGATCCTTGGAAGGAGGTCACACAGCAGGATCTTAACTCACCTTTAATTCTTTCTTATTATAGTTATCCTAAATCATTTGTTTATTCCAGGCACTTTCTAGGGAATTATTTTAGAGTAGTCATTAGTATTTCATTTCCCTGACTATAATCACTAAGAAAAAGTTAGGATTTGAATGACTTTATCCTTCTCACAGATCTGTAATCCTCAAACCTTAACTTAAAGTTACTCAGAAGTTCCCCAGATCTGTCTCTAAATTATTAGTCACTGACATTGAGGAGTCTGGTGTTATAGTTTAGAGTTTCTGTGAAAGAGCCCCGTGTGTCCTATTAATAACCAAGAGATATGCTTGTGTAGTTGCATTTCTGAGTGACCATACTGCTGGGTTTGTTTCCATAGGACACCCTCTGCTCTGAAATCATGTTGTATATTTGTTGTCACAGTAGAATGTACTATGTGTAAGTGGCTGTGAGGGACCCTCATCATCACCTCCCTAAATCCCCCAGGGAGCACCTGCCCCACAGTGGGAGAGGTACACCAGGCTTTCTGTAGCAGAGATCTGGTCACCTGTGAGTAGTTCATGTCAAACTAAATGAGGCTCCTGGTGAAGCTGTATTTGATTGGAATTCTTTCAGAATTATTTTGTCTTGTACTCCTTGACCCTAATTTAAAAAATTTTACTTTCTGCACTAGAATAATTCCACATTGTTCAATATTCTGTAAAACAAAAAAAATGTAGAGGAGCAAAATTTTCCTGATTATCTGATGAAACCTATACTCCTCTTTTTGAAATGCCTTTCTTCTTTTTTACATTCATTATTCTTTTCTTTCTGGAAAATTCTGACCCCATCCTTCCATTTAAAATGTATAGTTTATGATCATGATTAGTGTCATAAAACTTTTTTTATAGAAGTATAGTCAGTTTACAATGCTGTGTTAATTTCTGGTGTACAGCATTGGTATTAATTTATATATATATGTAATATATATACACACATATATACACACACACATTCCTTTTTATATTCTTTTTCATTATAGATTATTACCAGATATTGACTATAGTTCCCTGTGCTAAAGAATAGAAGCCTATTTTAAAGTTGTTTTCAAAACTGTTTTTAATAGGAACAAGAAAATAGGCAATTTTTTACAAACTTTAACTTTGTGGACTATACCGTGTAGATCATTCTTCAAAAGTATAATTTCATCCTGATGATCAGTTTTGCTATTAATGTCTCTGAACTTCCTTATGACTCTCATGGTGCATCTAGGTAATGTGTGTATTTCCAGTGACCTGTCCCAGCATTTAAGGTTACCTGTGTTCTTTGTTTTTCCCTCATTGGCTTGCTCCCCAAAGCTGCCTCATCTCTCCTATAGGAGATGCATCCCTATCATATTATTGTAATACATCCTCTATTTAAAAGTTAATCACTGTTGTGGACTGGTTATTCTCATTGTCTGACATCTGTATGAAAATAATATAAGCTCATGACATTAAAGTATTAAAAATATGAAAAATTATTAAATTGAAATAAGATATATTCTACCCTCTGTCTAGGGATATCCTTACTTTAAAATTTGTAAAATATTTTTTAATGATGAAATATGTTAGAGGTATAACATTATTTCAGTTGTATAACTTACTGATTTGATACACTTACAGATTGTAATAGGATTGCCATCTTGGTGGTAGGTTGCACCTCTGTCATGTCAGATGATTATGATTTTTCTTTTGTGGTTGGAATAATTAAGGTCTAGTCTATTAGCAAGTTTGATGATTAGAATATATTGTTGTCTATACTCACTATCCTTTACCTTAAATCTCTAGGGCTAATTTACTATGAGATGCAAGTTCATACCCTTAAATAACATCTCTCCTTTTCTCCCACCCTCTAGCCCTTGGTAATCACCATACTGCTTTCAGTTTATATGATTGCCTTTTTTAGATTTCACACAGAAGAAGTATAATACAGACTTTTTCTTTCTCTGCGTGTTCAAAAAGAGAAACTGATGACAACCTTTAGCTAGACTAAGGAAGGAAGAAAACTCAAATAGATGAAATTCGAAATGAAAGAGAAGACATTACAACTGAGACTCCAGAAATTCACTGGATCATAAGAGATTTCTATAAAGAATTCTATGGCAAGAAAATACATAACCAAGAAGAATGGCTACATTTGTAGAAACAAGAAATCAATAATGACTGAATCAGAGAGAATTACAAAATCTGAACAGTCAAAATGAGTTAAGATATTGAATCAGTAATTACAAAACTCTGAACACAGAAAACCCCAGCACCAGATCACTTCACTGATAAATTCTATCAAACATTTAAAGAATATTTAATGCCAGTCCTTGAAAAACTTTTCCAGAAAAAACTTACAGGCGGGAGAGAACACTTCAAAATTCATTCTTCAAAGCCAGTATATGGAGATACCAAGTAGATAAGGACATTACAAGTAAAGGAAGGTATACGCCAATATCGAGAATGAATATAGATTAAAAAATTCTCAACACAATGTCTGCTAGCTAAGTTCTAGAACACATTAATAGTAATATATACCATGACCCAGTGTAATTTACCTGTAAGATGCAAGGAAGTTTCAACATGCTGAAATCAATAAATGAAATACATTGCATTAACAGAATGAAAGATAAAATAAGTTGATCATCTCAATAGCTGTAGGAAGAGAATTTGACAAGATACAAAGTCCCTTTAAGATAAAAAACCTGACCATGTTGGGTATATAGAAGGAATATTTTTCAACAAAATAAAGGCCACATATGACAAACCCAAATCTAACATTGTAGTGAACAGTGAAAATTTGAAATGTTTTTCTCTAAGATCAGGAAAAGGCAAGGGTTCCCACTCTCACACTTCCAGTCAACATAGTCCGAAAACTCCCAGCTTACAGCATCCAGGTAAGATAAAGAAATTAAAGACATCCAAATGAGAAAGGAAGAAGTAAAATTTTCATTTTTTTGCAGATGATTTTTTTTGTATGGAAAATCCCAAAGAGTCAACGAAAAGCTTTAACTAATGAACAAATTCTGTAAAGTTGCAGGATATAACATAAATTCAACATACAGAAGTCAGTTGCTTTTCTGTTAATAATGAAATATATGAAAAATTATTTCATTCAACATAGCATCAAAAACAATAAAATAACTGGAAATAATTTTAGCCAATGAAGTGAAAAATCTGTTCAGTAATAATTACAAGATTTTGTTGAAAGAAGTGAAGAAAACACACACAAAAAGGAAAGTCATACAGTGTTCATGGATCAGAAGAATTAATATTGCTACAATATCCACACTACCCAAAGCCAAAGGCCTCACACCTACCAATATCAAAGTATTACTACAAAGTTGTAGTATTTAACAGTATGGTACTGCCCTAAAAATAGAGAAATAGATTGACAAATGAAAAAGAATACAGAGTCCCAAATTAAATGCCTGCATATATAGTCAACTAATATTCAACAAGGGTGAGAACACCACCCATTGGGGAAATGGTAGTCTCTTCTTTTCTTCTAAGAAAACTGGATAAGTACATGGAAAAAAAAATGATGAGACCCCTATTTTAGACCTCTCAAAAAATTAAATCAGAATGGATCAAAGACTTAAATATAAGATCAGGTATCATAATGTTCCTCAGTAATTTTCTGAGAACCTCATAATTAATGGAAAAGTTAGTAGTTTGAAGGAATAATTAACGGAAAAGTTAGTAGTTTGAAAGTTAGTAGTTTGCAGACATCCTCTTGGATTCAACTCTTGTTTTGCAAGTTAATAACAACACCTACTATTACTAATATCATTGTATTACTATTCATCTCTCTATTTGTCCTTCTTTCTCTGGTCCTTACTTTCTCTCCTACTAACACTGTGACTTGTATGAAAGGAGAATGGGGATATCTTTAAAAAATGGAGTTAGATATAATTTTCACTAATTTTATTTCAGCCTTTGGATGCTGTGACAGTTTACCACTGAATACCAAAACAGTTTGTAAACAAATGAGATACTGTGCATGACAGTTGAAAAAGAAATGTTTCTTTTTCACCAATAAGGAGTAATCAAAAAAGGATCTCCTAAGAGATCACAAAATAGTTTGCTAAAGATTGCTTGCTTCTTATTTATATCTTGAATCAATTTAAAACAGCATGTCACTTTAAAACAGATTAGCTTCTTGCTTTCGTTCATAAGGAATAGTATCTTATAAACTGAAGAGAATTTTTTAATTTGAAACTATGGGTAGTTTTTGTATTTAAGTGGTAGACATTATTTGGTCATTACTGTTTGTGTGCAGAATTAATGGGCTTATATACGCAGTGTACATTTTCTGTCTGCTCATTCTGTCAGCAGCTACAATGTTGAGACCCGTGTTCCTTAAGGGAGCTGTGCTGAGGTTTTCTGTAGGCTTAGTTTAGGCAGAAAACACCTGTTGTAATAGACTAATTTATATCTTCTGTGCTATAAGATGTAAAACTCCAGGATTTTAGAGGAATGGTTTAAACGCTGTTGTGGAAGCAAGGAAATGTTGGATTTGGTGCAGAAATTGTAGGGGCATACATTTGTATTTTTGAGGAATGGTCCCTCGTGAAGAGCCTCAACCCTTATAAAAAGTTTTTAGCTTGTCATCTTGCTCATCTGATTGTCCAAAACATTAAAAAATTCTCAACATTTAAGATTTTTAAGTTAAGTGTATTAAATTATATTTTATTTAAATTCAGTTTTTAATAAATTTAGTATATGCTGTTATTAACTTCAATTTTTTGATTAAAAATCTTTTAAAATTTATTTTTAATGCACTCCATGGGCTATCTACTCTCTAGGACTTTGATAGAGCATATAATCTTGATGTGTTGGAAAATCAGTTCCTATTCAATTATGATTTAGATCCAGGTGGCTGGCCCATGTTGGATTATTGATAGTGTAATAGTAACAAAATAACAATAAAGACAATAGTTAATATTTCTTCTGGATCGGTGAATATATGCGAGACGTTTTGGATGTTTCACGTGTACTAACAACTTTTTTCCCCACTACAACTGTATGAGATTCATGCTGTTAATATGAGTCAGTATGATCATGTCTCTGTGAACGTTGTAGTCTAGTTTTCCATCATTGTTGCCTGTATCTCTCAGCAAACCTGTGAAATGGTCTCCCTTTCGACACTTACCCCTTCATAATCCAACCCAGTGACTATATCCTGTGTTTTTCTTTAAATGTGATTGTACCTCTCCCTTTCTTAACACTCTTAATTTTTTCCCGAATGCCCCTATTAGATGCTTCACACTCCTTAGAATGTCTTCTCCAGCTTAATTCTCCAGCACCATCTGTCTCTTTACTCAGCCTCTTCCTGTTCAGACTAAACTTGGACTTCTTGGGAACTGTCACTAACTACTCTCCCTGGCTGTCTTTTGTATCTTCCTCCACCCCTGACCTACCCCTTCTGCTTATTCCTGCATATCTTCAGATCTGATCTTAATTATCAAAGAATCAGAGATACTGTCTATGAATTCTGTGAATGTTTCCTTAGCATTGTGGTCTTGCCTTAATATAACACTCTTCACACAGTGTTTACAACTTGCCTGTATTCTGTCTTTCCAGTAGACTGTCAGGTGGCAGAAACTGTGTCTATATCATTTCTCTGCATATGAGCACTCACTACTGGTACAGACGACTCCCTTTATAATTATTTTTATGACTGATGCTTTATTATGTGTTGAATAATGAAGGCTGTAATTTAAAATAATATAAGTCCTCCAGGTGTCCCAATTTATTCTGTAATGATAATAAATTTCACATACTTGTGCTAGTATAGAAATACGAGTTTCTAATTGACAAGTCATTTTATCCGGCTTCCCAATTTCTCTGCTGTGTTAACCATTGTAAATAAAGAATGCATAAGTATTCCCCTGAAAATGCAAAGTAAGGAAAACAAAATAAATAGGAACATGTTACCATAGGCAAAGGTTTAGCAGGTCTGCAGTGGAGGCCTCCTACAAATTCAAAATTTGGTAGCAGTGGGTGAGGGAATTCAAAATCCCAAAAGGTTCGAATGAGCCACATGTCAGCTTTCCCAACTGTCTCCAATAATGTAGTGGGTCTTCCTGAAAGGAAAAAACAAAGACAAAAAGAACAAACGTTAAGCCAAATGAGAATATTGCCATGTGCATATATTAAGCAATATGTGAAATGGAGCTTGGAATGATGTAGTCAAAGATGTCTGAAAGTGGCTGTATTTTGATAAAGCAAATATATTTTTTTGTGACTATACTATACTATACTATAATGTGGAAACTGAGCTACACAAGTAGAAACAATTTCTAAATGCCACCTAGTTACCTATGCTACAAATATGTGCATAGCTCTTAAGTCTACATTTTTTTTAAGAAGACATTTTAGGAGGTGTCTAGTCACCTTTTTAAAGTTAAAAAAAAGTTTAGTAAGATGAATACTTAGTTTTTTGGAGATGTCTTAGGTGCTTCAATTTATGGTTTATGACTCCTGGAGTGTCCTGCGCTAGTAATAGGCCTACCCCATGAATTAATTTTTCCATAATTATTATGAAATTGATGAAACATTTTATACTTTCATTTTATCATTTCACTTATAAAACCCAAATTTCTGTGATGTTTTATTTATATGATTTCATCTTCAAAGTCATTGGAAAAGTTAGGAATTTATGCCACCAACTGAAAACATGACTTACCTAGTACTTCACTGTAAAACTGATTCCACTTCTTCTCATTAAATGTCTGGAACCAAAAGTCAAAATAAAGTACGTACATCATATTTTTCACCCTCTCCATGAATGTCATTTGATCACCTAATTCTGACATGATAACCGGTACGTAGGATGGTGGGAGTGGAAGTTTTCCACCATACTTCTCCAGCGAAAAGCCTGGAGAGAAGCGGAGACTATACACTAACGGGATTTGAAGGATCTCAGCCAGCAGCTCACCACAGGGCCCAATGGCATCTGCAAGAACGATGTCAAACCTTGATTCATGTAGTTTTGTCATAAGTTTCTTGTTCGAAACAAGATCTTTACAGCCTGTGATAAGAATATCAGAATATTCCCAAAATACACTTTGCACTGTTGAAAAGTAAGTCCAAGATGACTCTTTTGCAAAATTAATCCATTTATCAAGCAAATGCTTGAAAATATACTTAAAATCATCTTTAGTTAAAAGTGTTGGAAAAATCTCAAATTTAATAGCGGATTGTGTATTGGGATCAATAAAAATTGAAGCTGAAGATATCAGGACAGTCACCTCATGACCCCTCGTGACAAGTTCATCCAGAATTGTCTTCATATTAATCCAATGACTGTATTCCACTGGCCACACCAGCACCTTCCTGCAACTCCCAGAGCTAAAGTAGCAGTTCAGCTGCAGCAGCAGCAGAAGTGAGAGCCATTTCATGGACATCTTGTTCACATGCAAAACTTGAAAATTTCTCTATCCTTTTGCTATTGCTCATGCTTATATCCAAGGAGAAATCAATCAAGAAGTTAAAGTATAACTCCCACACCATAAGTAAACACATTTAATGAGTAGTCAGCAGCCATGGAAATCAAGTGAAAGGGCAAAGTGTAGAAAAATCCACGATTATACAGTTTGTTTTATATTATATTGCCAGTGTTATCACCCCTGTAAATGTCGATGACTGTACACCTGTGAATCAATTGTATTATGTAAGTAATAAGACTAATGTAAAGCGATAGGAAGTGAGGGGCTCTCGTGTCTGCAGTCTCCTTGACACAGAGTTAGAGATACGGTGACATCAGCACGATGGAGGATTAGGAGGCCCCAGCACTTTAAGACCCGCAAAAACAACAAAAATGATAAATGAATAACTACAAACCGGTGTAAG